GTGTCTCTGTCCTCGACAGGGGTTTGGAACTCGATCTGTAAGGTCCCCTCCAATCCAAACCCTTCTATGATTCTATGTGTGTCATCTCATTGTATGGGCAAATAAGGTTACGCCTGATTAATTTAACATGCAACATTAAATCAATTAAAGAAAATGAAAAGAATGCTTTTGTCAAGCACTGGAACAGGCTGCCCAGGGAAGTGGTTGAGTCACCACCTCTGTGTCACCTAAGCTAGGTGAGCAAAAGAAGGCCCTGTACTAAGGAGAAAGGATTTCTCATTGTAAAAATAATGACAAATTGGTCTGTGGATTATATTCTGTGTTGCTCTACCCCTTCAGCTGCCACTAATCAGGAAGGCCACCAGTATTACCTTTGGCTATTAGTGACTTCAAGCTGGGGATTCATCCCACAGCCATAAGAAATAGGAGAAAACCCCCAAACCATTGAAGATGCTAACCTGGAACAAGTTTCACCTTGCAGTTGTTTGAACTTCAGTAAACAGCAGAGGCCCTGTCAACACCATGCTACAGACAGTTAGCTGGCTGCTGACAGCAGCTGAGAAGTCCCTGTGATTTAGAGAATGCAAACATGCTTTTCACATCCAGAAAAGCCCGGCAGATGCCTACAGCAATAAGGAGGAGAATCTGCTCTAGAACTGCGAGTCCACCATTCTTCATCAATCACCAGGCCACCCACGACCTCTTGCAAATTCTGCAGGAGCTCTGAGACCCTGAATGTTTTAATCAAAGACTTGAGCCACACACTGAACACGTAAGACAAACTCTGAATTCCTAGAGTGGAAAAACAATGATCCTTTTTCATTGTTTTTTTTTTTTTTTTTATTCCCAGCAAAGATTAATTTCTGTAAGGATCTTCAGTGAGTGACCTTATCGAAAGCTTGTGGAAATCCACACACACTGCATTAACCGGAGGACCCTGAGCTACAAGCTTGTTCACACTTTCAAAGAACATACAAAAACCTTCTTCCTTTTCCACACTCTGCCTTACTATTTATCAGCCAACACCATCCCTACCATTCCTCTCAGTTTACCCAGTGCCCACATCAGACTCACTGCCCCGCTGCCCCCCACATCCCTCCAGGAACCCCTTAGAAACACACCTCACACTTGTACAATTTCCTGCACTTTGGTATGAAATCTACTTTAGGCAGCAGGTACCACACTCTGGTTTGGGGCTGGTGACTTCAGGGTGGAGTTCTGGGTAATTACCTTCTGCTCCTGGTGATTTGTCACTGTTAATGATGTCATTGATAAGAGTATCTTTAACTTGTCTGCTTTAACTCTGTCTTCTTTTGGCACAAACCATGGCAGGCTTCTTGCTCCTGATGGGTTCAGAAAAGACCGTCACTTTTTCATACCTATTTCTCGCAGTCTTTTAATTAAGGTTTTAACAATTTTACATCTGGCTTCTATTTTACACTGAAATTGTTACTATTAACAAACAGCAGAGGAACTTTAAAATTTGTTTTAAATTTAAATGACTCTATAATCCATTAAAATTAATGTAGTTCTACTCTGCCTGTATATTGAAGAGGATGCTACTGCTGAGTTCAGAGACAGGCAGAGTTCGAAAGAACACTCTTCCCAACTTCCCTGGTACTTAAATAACACTTAAAAGAAAATAAAGACCCACACCACCCATTAAGTTTCATATAACCAGACTTAAAACCCCCAAAACTCAAGCCACACAACTCACATTAAAAATAAATACATTCTAAAAAGATTTGGAGAATAATTTGATTTACTTCATCGCACTTGGCAGCCCGCTGCATTTTGTCTTCTACAAATGGTCTAGATGGCAAACTTCCGTGAGTGTTTACAGAAACAGAAAAGCTAACAATAATTCAGAGCTCTGTGGAATTGGATGTTGAGTCAATAATGGAAAATTGCCCTTCTACACATAGAACTGAGGTGCTGTACTCCCCTCAGCCTGCCTGTTCACAGAAGTCTGGAGAAATTTTAATTCTGTGGGGATGCACCTCCAGACAGCACCCATTTTCAGTGTTAAACAAGAAGTGCTTGGAGACAGACAGCAGCACAAGAAGCATTTATAGAGATTATGTAGTAAATTCACACCAACTACAGCTCCATTTCAGAGTATCAGTGTTGCTTCCCGTAACGCTTCAGATATGAAGTCATACCTACAGGATTTGTAAATAAGCTGTAAAGCTATTCCTAGTTATCATACTTTTTACTTGCTTACACAACAGACGGCATAACGGGCATAAACTAACCCAGTTCCCCCGGTTTGATTTAAAAAATTAAAATAAACTATTTATGTTCAGCATCAATCCCATTGCCAAAGCTCAGGACAGAAGTTTAACAGCAGCACCGGTGTGACCGACATCCAACCCCGGTGACAAATACAATAAATATGACAGCGGGAACGTGCCTGCTAAAAAGACCACGTCTTTAAAAACGGCCCGGCAGTCATTCCAACAGCGGCGTATCTGCCTTTTTTTCTTTCTAATAACAGCTTCTGACCTAGCTGGGCACTGCTTGTACAGTCAGGTGGGTCTGTGAAATGCAGTGTTTACAACATCAACTTAATACACTTAGTACCTTAATACTAAGGCCCAAGTATTAAAAGAAAAAAAGTGTCTTAACCATCAAGTGTCAGAGGAAAGACACTGGGGAGCATTTGAATGAGCAGCCGAGAGGTTCTCACATGGGGTGTGACCAGAGACACGAAGTGGCTGATGTGAGAAATACACAGCCATGGGGACAGAAAACCTCATCTTTTTCCTTTGCCACTCTTCAAGAGAGCATTACCTGAATTCAAACGCCTATAAAATGGAGTTAAAAATCTATATTCTCACCAACCCCTCTAATTTCTACTGTCAACCTTCAGTTGTTCATTAATTAGTCAGGGTTTGTGTTCTAGCCTTATGACTGTCAAAGTTCCCTTTAAATCCCTACTCTCTAGTAGAATTTCTTTCTATGGAATCTTTTCTGAGGTGGAGGGGGGAGGACAGAAGGGCAGCAAAGCGGTAAATGCATATACAACTCAAATTCTTGGAGCGTGTAAGGAATACATATTTGTTTATCTCCAACATCTGTAATATCCATCTGTTTTAAAACAGGCAACTGTGAGATTTTCTGATGAAAGTGTGATTTTCATCACACTCTCTTTCAATAGATGTATTTCCTGTGGTTACCACTGACGACAGGAGAGCTGTTATTTCTTCAGGGCTCCTGGTGACTCAGGGCAGAGGAGGGTACCCACAGCTTCCCCTGCCACAGCTCAGCGGGGCAAGTGATACTTGACCTTTTCCTGGCAGTAGGAGCTTCGTGAACTTTTCCCTGCGTTTGGGCTACTGCCAAGTGGCCACACACGTGTTATTTATCAGCTCGTTTGCCCACGGCAAGTTGCTTGTTTGGGTCGGCCCTGCAGACCGTGAACACAGGGAACAGTTAAATCTGCAAAAACGGAAGAAGAGGCTGGAGGAAGCTGAGATTTTATTTCTGAAGGGCTGTCACGCTCGGGACATCAAAGCCCAAGAGCGTTTTCGTTTTGCACGGCGAGTGTGGCAGAGTTGAGTGTAACACAGTAAGTTCTTCGAGCGCTGCCGGGTAATGTTACTCTAAATAGCCTGCAAGCCGACTGGCGGGTGCAGGGAGCTACTCCTTCCAGGTGCGTGCCTCTATAAAGACCTCTGGAGCCTGCATCCGCCCACCGGGAGCTTCCAGCACCCTCTGTCTCAGCAGGTACAACCCAGGGGTCCAGCAAACCTCGGCTGAGGTGCCTCCGTGTTCTCTGCTACCTAACACGGGACCGCGCTTGAATGAACTCCTCTATTTCAGGTCAGCTGTGTTGGCCAACCAAATCCTTAACTAACCCCTACTAATTTGCAAGGAGGTGCTCTCGTTGCTGGTTTGGAGTATCTGGATGCATTTACCTTGTGGACTCAAATATCATATGGGTTCACTATAGTGATGGTTCTAGCGCTGACATTTCCTTTGTTTACTAATGTTTATATTCATCTTTTTATAATACTTTATATATATATATTTTTTATTTAGTGCATGAGAAGATGAGAAAATTGCATGGGCTCTGAGAGACAGGGGTGTTTGTGTATGGCATGAATGGGGAGCTGAGCCCCGTCTTGCGAAGCACAGACTGCAACTGCCTTTCCCCTGGGAGCAAATGGAATTGGCTCTTGCCCAGATAATCCAGACTAAAGCAGGCTACGGTGTGTAACTTTGCAGAGAGGCAAGAGAGACAGAAACACATTTCAGCAGAGCTGTGTTTACAGCTGAAGCCCCAGTGACCCAGTCCTGCTGCTCACTAACCTACTTTGTGTTGTTTTTTTTTTTTTTTTTTTTTTTTTTTCCAATATAGCCAAGCAATGGATTTTGGAAGTTTGAGAAGCATCAAATTTATCCTCTTAGGGGATAAATTTTTACCTTAAGGTTTATCATCATCTTACAATTTGCCCTTCAGCGTCTAATTACCTTATTAATTTTATGCAGCATTCTCAAATAGATGTAGTTTTGGGAATTATTCCTTCTTCCTTAGATTCTGAAGAAACCAAATGTTATTTTGTTAGTAGTTTTGTTCACAACAGTTTAAGACTATTAATGAAGTCAACGTGGGTTTAAGAAATTTGAAAAGCAGGGAATTTAATTACATTTTCCTTTCAGGGCTATTTTGCAAAAGAAACCAGCTGCTAACATTCAGAAAGAGACAGTATCTTGAAAGGGGACAGATTTTGGTTGCAATATTATTATTATACTAAACCAAAAAGCTGTTAGAGATACACCATTTTCATTGAAAAATGGACTAGAAAAATGTCAAAATAGTATTTGTCAGTAGAATTGTCAGTATTTACAATTCCAGAAACACAACTGCAACTTGAATATATTAGATGTAGAGTATGTAATAATGCAAAGACCATCTATTTGCAAATAGCATACTCAATGCTATGTCAGTAGATTCAGGTACAGTTTGTCATTTAAAATACTAAAATAAAGCTGTGCATCATTAAGGCCAAGATGCTAATGTATTTGAAGTCTTGAAATTGTGAGACTGAATCTGACCTGCAGTTTGCTGCGAAAAAACTGCTTTACTTTTTACTCAAGTTTACTCATTAATAGTTATGGCAGCAGGCTACATAAAGAACAACAAAAACCAACACCACCTTTCTATTTTGCATAAACCTTTGAAAATATACTATTGTAGCACCTAGAAGCCTCAGCTACAAACCAGAGCCCAGTGCATTAGGTGATGTATAAATGCAAGGGCATATTCTTTATCCCCCCAGTTTACCATTTAAGAACTCAGGCAATTGATGGACCTAAGGACCACAGCAGTCTCACCACTAGGTGTCTTTTAGACCTCCTAACCATTTTAAGAACTGATTTAATAAGAGCAACAAAGCATCCTTATAAATATTTAAGCAGACTCTTCTTTTAGAGGAGCTCAAAGGACAAAGCATGAGAAAACATAGCAATTTTTGTTCTGATAACATCATGTAACATGTCTAACTCAACTTCGAATTCAGCCTGTACTGAATGAGTGATAATACAGTATATATGTATCATGATCAGAGATTTGATTGTATTTACTGCAAGTACTTAAACAAATCAACAAATATATATTTACTAAGCTTGTTTGATTCAATTGTATTTACTGCAAGTACTTAAAAATGGATCAACAAATATATATTTACTAAGCTTGTTTCCAAGCTCTTTTGTGGTATTCACAGCTATGCATAGCCAACTGAAATTTTTGACCTGTTGCAGTAAGAACTTATCTAAGCAAAGAAAAAAAACATACAGAATGATTCACTTTCTACCCAAACTGTCAAGTTAAACAGTCTACTTATTACACAAGTCTTTCTTTTTTTTTTTACATAAAAGGGTACTGGACAATACAGAGGTTTGCCCTGCTTTGTAATTTCAGGATTGGCCTTGCATTTCAATAGTACAGTTTTTAATTTGGTAAGGCTCTTGTAGCATAAAACAAAGCAAAACAAAAACAGACTTTGGAAATGTAGCACTTCCCATGTTTAAACATGAAACATTCAGAAGACTGGGTCTTCAAATAAGTGTTTTCTGGCTGTAGCCATCACCAGTTCTGCCATTCTTCTCTTGCCAATTACATCACTCTTAATATTTTTTGCCAGAGATTTCCTAAAACATTAGGACGTGACCAGATTTTATGCTAGCTGAAGATACGAAAAAAGAGACATTGCTGAAAACAGGAAGTATTCTCAATTACATCAGTCAATATTTTTTGCCAGAAATTTCCTAAAACATTAGGACGTGACCAGATTTTATGCTAGCTGAAGATACGAAAAAAGAGACATTGCTGAAAACAGGAAGTATTCTTTTCATTACATGAGATTGCATAGAAAACATTTGCTGTTGTAAGCAGACACACTTTCAGGTGTGAAACGTGAACATGGATGCGTTCACTCCTACATCAGAGAACACTGTAACTGCAGCATTATCACCAGTTTCATACCTACCATCATTGTATCTCCAATTATACACAAAAGGTGCATAGCCAGAATCTGCTACTCTGATAAATAAATAAATAAATAAATAAAAATTAATCTGCAGAAATCAGTTTACTTCAAAAAACTCTCTTTTCTGAAACAGCACAAAATCACTGCCATGGTGCACAGCCAGAATCTGCTACTGGCTAGATAAAGGCCCTCTGATAAATAATTAATTAAATAAATAAAAGTACATCTGCAGAGATCAGTTTACTTCAAAAAACTCCCTTTTCTGAAACAGCACAAAATCACTGCCATAACTGAACAAACGCAGTGCAAGAGGAGTCAGAGCACGAATCCTGTCCTTGTGCATAAACAGGGTAGCAATAAGGAATATATCAGGTATCAGTAAAACTGCAATGGTGTCAATATCATGTGTGCAAATACACCACCCACACAAGTCAGCAGTCACTCTGGCTCCTTGAAAAACTACCTGCAGGCACTGCTGAACCTCCCGGCTGCTGCCAAAGCTCTCTCTCCTCCTCCTGGCCAGGATATCTTAGAACAGCCTCCTGCGGTATGATGCAATCCAAATTACACAACGCTTTCTCTGCAGTGCACGTGGCTGGAGAGGGCAAACAAATACGGATTCTCAAAAATATGCAGTGCAAGAGGAGTCAGAGCACGAACCCTGTCCCTATGCATAAACAGGGTAGCAATAAGGAATATATCAGGTATCAGTAAAACTGCAATGGTGTCAATATCATGTGTGCAAATACACCACCCACACAAGTCAGCAGTCACTCTGGCTCCTTGAAAAACTACCTGCAGGCACTGCTGAACCTCCCGGCTGCTGCCAAAGCTCTCTCTCCTCCTCCTGGCCAGGATATCTTAGAACAGCCTCCTGAGGTATGATGCAATCCAAATTACACAACGCTTTCTCTGCAGTGCACGTGGCTGGAGAGGGCAAACAAATACGGATTCTCAAAAATGAACAGAATAAGGCCAATCATGGATAAAAATCACAGAATCAGAATGGTTTGGGTTGGAAGGGACCTTAAAGATCATGGAGTTCCAACCCCCCTGCCATGGGCAGGGACACCTCCCACTAGACCAGGTGGCCTAAAGCCCAAAAAATAGCATAGGGCAAGTTACAAATAATTTTTTTTTCTCTTTATATATATTTATGTGTGTATATACACTCACAGAGGTGCCACCACTAAAGAAAACTCCAGTTAAACAAACAGTTTCACTGGCATATTTCTCCCCAGGCAAATTTCAATCCAGTCCCACTCCTGCTTTTGCTGCTTGTTATCTGGGATCAAGCAGCTCCCTCCGACGCTGGGTGCTGCTCTGTGCACTGAAGATGCACAGTCACTCATAACAGACACCGAGTTCTCCAAAAAAGCTTACCCATCCAAACTTCTCCCTGTAGTTATTTCCTGATTGCAAGCTACATTTCAGGATAATTCAATTAGTTGTTCTGCAGGAAAAGGCAGAGAAGAGAAAGCAACTGTATACAAGGAGACCCAATGGCAGCAGCAAAGCGGGAGTGCCAAGTCCAGAGTTCTTTGGGAAATGATAAATTGAATAGATAAAGTCATAGACATTACAAGACAGTTCATCTTTCTCAGCTGTTGCTTTAACTGATAGGAGCACCATGCAAGTAGCTCGCTTTTCAGGCTGATTAGTAGCATCAGTTTAGTGACACAATGCTAAGATTTTGCATAAATTATAAAATAATAAACATGATAAGCCAAAATATGTTACAGTATTATTGCATTACGAGAAAGTGCTTGCAGCAACATCCAGCAGAAATGTCACCTTTCATCATGGTTTTGCGGCCCCTCAATTCATCATTGAAAAAAAACCAACACCAAAACCAAAGCCCACCCAAGCTACTCACTGTCTTGAGGTATGACTCTGAGTCATACCTCAAAAAGAGTGCCCATAATCTCTAAGAACATTATTTTTCCCCTTCCATTTCAGCTCTTTTGCCATGATCTCTGCACAGCAGCCACCGTTCCCCAACAAAATTCAGAGAGCAATGGACTGCCCGACTGAGGAAGAGGAAACCTGTGAAGAGCAGTACGACTCTGAAAACTGCACTTGCAGCTCCAAGTGTGCATCATCAACAGCAGAATCCGATTCAGGTTCAATTCAATTTAAATATTGCAATTGCCATGGCATGCTAGTATTTCATGCTTTCACTTCACTCAGTCTTCAAGTAGTAAATGTCACCGTGTCACTTTTCCTTTTGATCGCTATTTTTTTTCCCCTACCATTTGTACTTATGTTTGCATTTATTATCAGACCAAATTCTACAAAAAGGACTATCTCTGTAATTAAGATGGATTTTATTTAGACATCTAAAAGTTATTTCTCAATTACAACCAGAGATACGATTATAATATGCACTAATTGGGCTGGCACTGTTGAAGCTGTGGTATTACAAACTCCAAGAGGCTAAACTGCTCAAACACCTACCAAGGATTCCAGGCAGGCATCGGTTAGAATCCATGCAAGCCAAAGCAAAAATTTTCTTTGCAGTTAGTTTTGCATCATTCACACATATCCTGCTAACAGGCTTCCAACAACAGCACAGTCATTCAGAACAGTGTTTGAAAACTTATTTTTCGTGACGTGAGATAAAGCAGCTCAGCAGAGCTCTCCTGAAAAATCTCACCTACATATTAGCACAGCTGTAGTATTGACTTGCTCAACAGCACCAAATGGGGCCAGACACTTCTCAGCAGCGCCCAGTCACAGGACAAGGAGCAACAGACAAGCTGGAACACAGGAAACTCCATCTAAACATGAGGAGGAACTTCTTTACTTTGAGGGTAGCAGAGCACTGAACAGGCTGCCCAGAGATGGTGTGGAGTCTCCCTTCTCTGGAGATATTCAAAACCCACCTGGATGCGTTCCTGTCCAACCTGCTCTAGGAGAACCTGCTTTGGCAGGAGGGTTGGACTAGATTTCTCTAAAGGTCCTTTCCAACCCCTACAAGTCTATGATTCTGTTTATATCAACATACATTTAAAGAGTATCTTACAACCCTCCTTTTATTTGAGGAAGATTTAAAACACAAACACTAAAGAGTATTCTTCAATGTAAGAGGCAAATCCTAAAACCTTCTTTTGTAAAAAGCAGGTTTTTGAGGAGCATTTAAAACACAATCACTAAAAAAATATTCTTCAATGTAAGAGGTAAATCCTAAAACCTTCTTTTGTAAAAAGCAGCTTAATGTTCTACATCTGTTGGCCCCCAAAATGAAAACTACAGCACACACCCCTACATGGCATACTCTGGCCTAGTAAGAACTACAGCACACCCCAAAATACAAGCTAACGTGGTCCTGAAAGTCTTCTAGCTGTTATTAGCAATGTTACATATTTGAATGAGTAGATTTTTCTAAAAGGCTCATTTCTATCTGTAAATTGCCCGTGCAAGAACTCAGATTGGCAGGAAATTACCATTGCTCCTTTCACTCCCTGGCCAGCCAGACCATCCCACTTCTGGAGAGCAACCAGCCTCATGGTGGACAGCTTTTCTAGTCCATGTGCCTACCTACTATCTTCACAATATACATTTTACCCTTTAACAAGTTGCATATAAAAATACAAATTGTGCATCTTCTCTCACAGATTCACCAGTAATTCTTAAAATACTACAGAACTGGGTTCCCAGAGTTTCGCACTACTTCGACAAAGAGCACTATACCTACGTAGGCCACCGGATCGTCATCCAGGAGTCCATAGAACACTTTGGAGCTGTCGTGTGGCCAGGGGTATGTATGTCACTTCCCTACGCAGAACGATGTTGTAAAGTACTTCATCAGAAAGCTCTGCCTTATGCTTTATCTGACAGCTCACGCCAAAAGAACTGCAGCACCTAAATATTTGTAAATTGGATGCAAATATTGAAAAAAGGGAACTTGGGAAAACATCTTCAGCTGCTTCCATATTTCCAGTCAGTCACCACTGGGAAGCAAAGTCAACAGTACAAAAAGGAGGGTGAAAAAAAAAAATAAATTGAGAGAGATTAAATAAATGGAGTTTAAAACAATTAAATATGCTTCTTTTAAAGAACAGGCTGGAAAAGCTCCATTGCAGTATGGAAAATTGTACTTGCAAACAGTTCTTCTTCACTCTTTGCTTCTCCCGCTCTTAGAAACAGAACTTTACGTGGACTGAGAAAACTGCCTTTGAGGGAAGAGAGGGTGAACTGATAAAGACATGAAAATTAGGATTTCAAAATTTTTCAGATCCGCATTTATTGAAAAAGCTCACAGAAAATGGCAGACAATTTCCAAACAACAGAGAAAAAGCATGGGTAGGTGAAACAGTATCTTATTTTGAGATGTCAGATCATCAGTTCTCACATTAATCAGGTGCCAGAATGCAGATGGTAAAACTTTCCAAGAAAATCGAGAGGTGGTACAAGATGGACAGGTGATTCATTAGCTGTTAGCTTTCCAGAGCAGGTAGCCAGTGTTGCATTATGAAAAGCACAAGATTTAAAACAGTAACAGTAACACAACTCTAAAGAGGAGAAGCAAAAGGGGAACGTTAATTTCTTTGGCATCGGTTTACGTTGTTTATGAACAGCCGATTTATACTCCATCGATAAGATCTTCACAAAACTCTGATAAGCAATACCTCCATACAGTCATACAGTGTGGTTGTTGTTTGGTTGGTTTTTTTTTTAAGTTTATATTATTATGAATAGACAAGTGTTGAGTTGGTAAATAACAGCTTTTTAGTATTTCCTTTGCAAAAAAACCCTAACAAATTGTTTTTTAAAAAAAAAAAATCTCTGCTGAAGCCTGAATCTACTTTGTGATAGTGATAAACCGTAACATTTGTAATAATAAATCAGAACATTACTTTTTACATCTTGTTAAACAAACCTCTTTGCTGTTCTGACTGTATGGTTCATATCTAAACACTGCCTATCGTGAGCTGCCAGAGGACTCAGAAGTGTGTACCAAATCCATACCCCATAAACTTAAAAGTAAGCTAAATAAGCTTTTAATTTTTTTTTTTAATATAAAAAACAGGACACATCATGATTCTTTCCATATTACATTTTTATGTTACAGCCTTTAGTGTTTTTCATTTTATATAAAAAACCCCAAACCTGTATAAAAACATCTAATGAATTTTTGTGCAACTTACCTGTTACCCTCTTATGGATATGTGTTAACCATTTTAGGCACTGGCTTTATCTCAATATCTGGAATCAAATCAAGAACAATTCAACCTCAAAGACAAAAAAGTTTTGGAAATTGGCGCTGGAACAGGCTTGGTTTCCATTGTGGCCTGTATCTTAGGTCAGTAAATTCATATTTCCTTTTAGATTTCTTGTGAAAAAAGATCTAGATCTACCACTGTCACTTTAAGGCAATGAAGCAACAGTTGAAGTAAACTTTGTTTGTCACTGCTTTTTAAAAAATTATTATTATTGTAAATAATGTTTTATTAATAAAGCAACTACCCTAGTTATTGGTGAGGGGGAAGCTGGGGAAGTTACGTAGATAAAGTTGTTGTTTGATTTGTTTGTTTGTTTTTTTTAATATATACGTTCAACATACTATACCTATGAATTGAAACGAAATCATGTTTTCCTTAGGAGCTTACGTTACAGCTACCGATTTGCCTGAAGTTCTTGAAAATCTCTCATATAATATTTCAAGAAATACGCAAGACATGAATATGCACAAACCTGAAGTGAGAAAACTGATATGGGGAGAAGGCCTCAACGAAGACTTCCCTGTATCAACTTACCATTATGATTTCTTACTGGCAACTGATGTTGTGTACCATCATGCAGCTCTGGACTCCCTGCTAGCAACAATGGCGTATTTTTGTAAGCCAGGAACAGTATTACTATGGGCAAATAAATTCAGATTCAGTACAGACTACGAATTTTTGGAAAAACTTTGCGATATATTTAACGTTACCATTCTAGCAGAATTCCCAGAATCAAATGTCAAGCTGCTTAAAGCCACAGTAAGAGAGAATTAAAGAGAAAACTGTTACCAAGTTTGATTTACTAGCAGCACCTTACAGTTTGGAATGTTTTGCAGCATTTACGGTGCACCTTCTGTGCATTTATGCTTGTAAAGTTGTGGTTGTATCTGAGTTTTGCATTACAAGTTATAAAAAACCTGGCAAGACAAACGATATAGCAATTTGTCTCTGGTTGATACGTACGACCTGTTCAAACAGACCAATTTCACCCTGATGGAACAATGTTAGTAGCAATAGTTAGCAAAAAGGCTTTAACAGACAGCATTGATCTTCTGGGCTGCTCTGAATTTCTGTTGTTTGTAAGGTGTTTTCTTTCAGCAAGTTTGATTTATGTACTCTTTCAGAAACCAATACAATTTTTAGCTTAATTATTTGTTTTTATTAATTATAAAATAATCTTTTAAAGTATCAGAGTGCACGTGGTGGTTTTTGATCTTCAACTTCGCACATTTATTCTGCTGTGGTTTACATTTTTAACATTATTAAACATATATGTATAGCTTTACAATACCTGATTAAGATTTAACTGTCTGGCACTTTTATACATGTATCAGCCTGTCCTGATACTCAGCTTCACATAGATTTTTGAGTTTGCCTGAAATTAACTCCAAAATGAAGATTTACAAGAGCACCTGCGCATCAGCAATTCCAAGTTACAGGTTGTAACAGTTTGAGAGGTTGAATTTTTCTTAAAAAAAAATTAAATGTAAACTCTTGCAAACAATACAGGTAATGATGTCCTGTTACTTTAAGTCTAATAAATAAGATTTTAGCTACTCTTGAAGTAGCTTTAAGGCCTTCATAGAATTGAAATTAAGATCAAACATGTTAAAATTCAGTTTACTGTAAAAAATACAGAGCTTTTACAGGTTTGCAGTTAAAAGTAACAGTTAAGAACCTAACATGCATGCAGTAAGCCTTTCCAGCCTAATTCCAAATCCTTGGTGTTGGCAGTTCTGGCACATCCATTGCCAGCAATGGGATGCACAATAAGGAGACTCCCTGATGACAGGAGTCAGGTTGACAGGTATTAAGCTGTACCCAGGTGCCTTTACTGATAAATACACACAATTTAATAATCAGCATTCAGTAATGAAAACATGCGTTCCTTGTCAAACTTATCTTTTCCTATCCTGCTCCATATAAAACCACTTTAAGTTTACAACTGTTGTTTTTTTTTAGAATACACAATAGTCAGGTGGATACATCACAGGAAGCCAGTTTTCAGTAAAAGTTGCACAATGAGTCCATCCAAGCAACTTCATTAGCTGAAGAGAAAAAAGCAAACATTAAAAAACCCCAAATAATTAGAAGCTCTAGGGTCTTACTCTTTTAAAAATCTGAATCCTTCCAAAAACCACTGCACTGCTATCAGCATCTTACTAAAGATATTACTATCAGAAAGATAACAGATTGGAGAACAGGCAGAATTACTTAGTCCTGAAAGGTGAAAAAGAAAACCATTCTACATGGTCTACAGTCTTTCAATTCAATGCATAAACCTTTTGTCCTAGGACTTACAGTAATTCCCACTAACTCTCTACCTATATTCCACCAGCAATATTTGTGATTAATAATAGTAACAATAACAGTGGTTAAACAGTAACATAATATGATTTTAAATATGCAAAAGATCTTTGGCTAAGTTGTCTCTACTTTATGCCCCACAGCAAGTTCCAGAAAGTAAATCTGCTAAAACTAACAGTCACTCACTAACTAGCCATTCTAGAAAAAGAAAGAAGAAATCACTATTAAAAGTGAGGTCAAGCCGCAAAAACCTGGATAAAGTTAAAATGTTGAGTTTAGCGCATTCTACAATGTAAAAGGTATCAAAAATTCAAAAAGACTGGCATCTTACTTTTAAAATCTTACTCAGCATGAACGTAACCCATTACTTAACCAAACACACCTTACCTGAATGCAGTTTTTCAAGTTGTCCTTTGTTGGCTTCTCTTCTGCAAGTTTTGTGGCAAACTTAAGACCTCTTCCATACATTTTATTTACCAACGCGTGTTTATAGGCAAATGTCAAAACCTACAATGTGAAAACAATAACAAATTAGATTATTTAATATTTTCATCTTACAAGGCTTAACAAGTAATAGCAGATTCTGCTCAGGTAGCAGAAGTGATTTAAACAAAGGAAAACATTTACATAAGATAGCTTGCATTTTTCTTTGGAGTGAAACAGACGATTAACAGTAGCAGCTATAAACATGACATTCCTAGAGACTATTTCTGACTTCAGAACATTTTACGTAACACAGATATCACTATTCTATTTTTTTTTACTATTCATCACATTTCTAGCTTCTTTGGATTTTCACTCTCTAGAGGCAACTGTATGGTATAGAAAAAAAAAAATAAATCACGAACTAGGCATATCTTTGATCCACAGAAACAAAGACCCAACCAAGAGTTTTGATTCCTAGGAAGTCACAAACTACTGCAGAAACAAGTGTGAACATACGTAGTGAATGATGTATACACACACAGAAATGCACATAATTATGAACAAGCAATGAAGACGGGTAAGCAATGAAGTCAAGCCCCAGGTTTTGGGTCAGCTCCTCAATATTGGTAATTTATTAAGAAGAGATTATAAAAAAACCTTCCTCTTAATAAGACTAATTCTGAAGAGATAGCTTACAATACTTGTCAATGCTATAACTAACGTGAGCAAATGAAAGTGTTTACCTAAGAGCTAATGTAAATCAGGTTCTTAACAGAGTTCAGGGTTTTCCAAAATTTGTCATACCACTTCACCAGTTAAAGCACTAATAATCAGTGCAATCAAGACATTGTTTCATATATTCCCTTTGGAACACTCATAGTAAACAGTTTGCTTTTAATTTTTTTTTTTTTTTTTTTTGAAGCAGTAAAGCAGACATGGCAGCAAAGTTAGGGAATACGGTGGTGTTTCTGTTGTTGGCAAAGTTTGACATCTCGTATTAGAGCTTTTCATTTCTCCTCACTCATTACAATACTCTTCCTTTCCTTTTACTCCTTCAACAAAAGCTACATTTTCTCAATGTCCACTTAAAATGTCCCATTAAGAAAAGCTAACAAAACCACTTCAAGTATATTCAGAAATATTTATTTTGCATCACAGAAAAAAAAAAACTTTTTAAGAAGATAAACATTAAGGAATCCATGAGCCCAAACCTGAAAGGACTGAAGAAACGTGTCTGATTTTAGCTGCCTGAACACTTCTATGAATGTTAATTGCACACACAAATCTTTGCAGGATCAATACCGAGCTAAATATATATATAAGAAGCTTAATCATCAAGCAAGCAAAGGTGTAATTTTGAAGCTTAAAGTAAATGCCAAACACTCAGAATTGCTCATTCTTCTGTCTTCAAGTACTTATTTTGTTAAGTATTTACTTAAGCTGTTGTAGTTTCGAACATACACATATATGCAACAATGAGCATACAGCACCGTTCACATATAGATTTTCCAAATATTGCTATTGGAAAAATACTTTGCATGCTACATTCTCAATCCAATTATTTTGGATATTTTCCTAAAGCAGAACACATTAGCAAACACTTCTGAGTAACTGCTCAGTGGATCTGTTAGCAGACTTAGTTGGTTAAACTAAACTTAAAAAAAAAATATCCCTTCTGTAAAAGATGATAGAATCACAAACAAAAACAAAACAAACAAAAATTAAATGAAAAATGCATTGGAGCTCTCAGCAAATATAACATACTGGAGGCTAACCAGAAATAATGTCACTGCTCTATTAAGAAAGCTCTTACCTGACCCTCTAAGTTTTGAATGGTTATTGAACATCAGTGATAAAGGCAGGAGGAAAGCCACTTGACAGCATTTCTTTCGTAACAGGGCTTCCTAGAGTTTTTATGGCAAGAAAACACAGCATTTTACGAAACACCCTTGCTCTGGCCAAATAAAAGTTTGGGTATTTCTAAATGAGAAAAAAAGTTCTCTGCTGGACCAGAAGGTTGAAAACCATGCTCCAAGAGGTCTTGATAAAAGACAATAATTTCTGTCTTAGTGCTTGGAAAAAAAAACACCTAATCAACTGTATACAAGTTAAATAAAATACTAAAAGTTCATTAGCACTTCAAAAGTTAAGAATGACACATGAGATGCTTTAAAATCAGAACCGGTTTACAAGCAAAAAATGTTAGATTATAAATAATACTTCATAACTTGTACACATATTGGTCAAATTAAGCCTTGTAATTAAAATATTGCAAGCTTTACAATATCACAGAAGTGAAGATTATGATCCTTGGTATGTGTAAACCAAATGTAAACTATGTAAACCAAATGTGCTATTAAGACATAACAGAGAAAATGGCTGCTATCTGAATGTATAACAACAGCAAATAAACCCATCTGGAGTATCTAAAAGCAGTTGCTAGATGAAAGAATGAGTTCTAAGTATTTGATATTATTTCATAATTTCAATAAATATGATTAAGGCTAGCTTTTACAAAACAAGCGATATGGCCCAGGAACTGGCCAAAAAGCAATAAATAAAGGGTAATAAGAAAAGGCAAAGCATATTTCTAGTATACGTTGCTGGGGGAAATAATTGTAAGATATTTTATTCCCCAAGCCTGTAACCCAAAGCATGCTATGAGCCAGACCCAGGGAAGTGGCTGGATGTCCACCTCTTAATTAGCTGCCTAGCTTGTCACTGGCTGTGTAAAGATGTGTATTTAGGACAGTGAAATGCTGTAACGATCTCTCTCAAGACATCTGCGGGGCTGAGGTATTTTAAAGCCTGAAAACATTCTGTAAAAAAGAACATTTTTTTGAACCCAGCAACACTAAACTACTTATACTTTTCTAGTATCCTAATACTGATACCCATGAAAACAGACTTGCATAATAAGCTACTTCATTATTTAAACAGTTGATTAAAACGTATCTACATTTACAAATAATTAAAATACTAGGTTAAGCAATACAATCTTAGATAACACACTCCAACCACCTGTAGGAACACTGAAGTTTTAATGCTTATAATTACCAGCAAATGAGATTTTTAATGTTCATATACATGTATGGTAATTAAGGTTCCTTAGCCATGTTTGTTGATTCCTCTCTGCTCTATCAACTGGCCTATTACAAATAAAAGAAATATTCACATAAAAAAAATTGAGTCATGGTATTTTCAAGAGAGGGAGGGGCGTTAAGCGCATTAAGTATCCAGCAACAAGCTCTTGGCAGTGACTGAATACGATCAGCTGGAAGAGACAGCTGCATCTGACAGCACAGACAATAATATTGAAAAATAATCCACGCTAAAGATTTTTAAAAGACAGGACAGAAAGGTCTGGGCCTTTTATTTGTAAAACTTATTTTTAAATGTGACTTTTTGCTTATGCCCAACAGCTACTTTAAAGGTTGAGGGGTATTAAATTCTAC